ACGTGTTTTTTTGTCTGCCCCCCCCCCCCCCCCCCTTTCCTTTCCAGGATAACCTTAACAATGTGTCTTGTCAGTTGAATAGGTTATGTTCAACTGCATCTTGTACTCTTCTTTTAGTGCTGATGAAGATGCTTTCCTAACCAGTGAGAACATTGCTACATCAAGTGATGAGAAGTTGGCTCAGATGCTTCAGATGCAGTTTGATAAAGAGTATGATGCTCAGCTCACAAGAGAGGAGAAGAAATTTAATGGCGACAGTAAAGGTAAGGTGTCCTGATGAAGACAGTATGTGGACAAGAATATACAACTTAGATCTAGTTACACATGGTACTCTGATGTCGTTTGCAGTCTCCATATCCTTTGAAAACTATCGCAAGGTGCATGCGTGTGAAGATAGTGACAGTTCAGAGGATGAAGTTGATTGGCAGGATACACGCCATGACCCATATAAAGCTGGTAAGGATACAGGGGATTCTGTATGGTGGGTGTAACTTGACTTTGTTGAGACATAATACTGGATTCCTGCAGCCTGCCACTATAAGCTCTAGCATTCAAATTCTGATACGCTAATTGGTTCAGGTCATCAGTAAAACAGAACAGAGTGTCTGTCTTTCCACCCAGACTTCAGGTTTGTCCAAATCCGGTTTAAGCACCTAAACACAAAGTAATTGGTTCATTGTGTATTGTAATCACTGTGTTTAAAGAGATTTGGCAAGAATTTAACAAGATACACGAAGCTTTCTTAACAACCTTAAGTGCCCATTCACACTGTGCATTTAATTGCACGATTTCCGCCGCGATATCGTGCATATTTGCAGCGAGAAGTCGCCGTCCAATGATTTTCAATGGAGCTGTTCTAATGTACAGCTCCATGTCGCGGGTCGCTTGTGCAGGACCCTTTTTCCCCGCGCGATTTTTCTTTTTTTGAATGCAGCCCGACAGTGAAGGTCGCCCGAACAGTCGCGCGGAAATCCACTCAAGGTAAGTATCGCTTAGTGTGAATGGGGCCTAAAGCAGGCCAGCTGGCGTAAGTGCGATGCCTACTGCTATGCCTTTAGCTAGTGCCTTTTTTTTGATGCCTTCATCTGCTTTTATGTCCAGATGGCTGGTGCCATGTTCAGAAATCATCCAGGATCAGCATCTGGGCTAAGATACTCTGCAGGACAGAGATTCGAGATCTACCACTGCTGCCTTATTTTTCAGGGTGCTTGTTTTAGGGCTGTCATCCTTACGTGACTGCTTGGTAAGTCACCTGAAACGGGGAGGTTTATATCAGCTGTCAGGACATAAAATGTGCACTTGTTTTTGTTTTTTTTAGGGTCAGTGACTGACTAAATTGCAAATTGGGGATTAGAATTGACATTTCCAGGGCATGCATCATTGTAAACAAGACAGCTTGTACCCTGACAGATCTGAACTGTTATTAATACCCGTGGTTAGACTAAGGCTTGATTACATTGTAAAAGTGTCCACTTTGGGACCAGTGTAAATTCATCAGTTACTATGCCCAACACTTTATGATTTTAAAAGTATTCTTTCTTGAAATATTATATATTACAAACTTGTATTCCAGTGATGTTATCATATGTTCAAATGCAGATAAACCAACCACCACCCCTAAAAAAGGATTCATTGGTAAAGGTAAAGACATTACAACCAAACACGATGAGGTAGTGTGCGGCAGGAAGAATACAGCTCGGATGGAGAACGTAAGCAGAGGAGAATGCTCTTATTATATACTTTAAGAAAATCAGAATATCAAAGTATTTTACAATATGCCAAGATCTGTTTATTTGACCTATTTCTGCAACACCGACATTGACTTTTCATTCATATTGGCCTCTGCTTTGATGGAGCTTATAGTTTACCATCTCTATCAGTCATTCACGCACGAGCATGTACGCAACAGCTATTTTGATCAAAGGCAGTTAACTTGCCAAAATGTGGGTGTGGGAGGAAATCGGAGTACCCAGAGAGAAGTGTTCCCAGTAAGGCTAACCATGTAGCACTGTCTCGCCAGTTTGTTATCATTAGGAGATGTATATCGTTTACAAACTGATATTTTATTTCAATTTTATTATTGCTTATGTAAAATATTTTTTAATAAACAACATTTTAAAGGAAACCTTTCATTAGACAAACACAAAGGGTTTCATTGCTGACCTCTAATTCTGCAAATACTAACTGCCTGGCTATCATAACTACTTTCTAAAGGAGAACTATGGGGTCAGTGTTTTTCCCCATAGTTCTCCTTAGGGTAACGGGAGGACACAAACTAGCGTCCTCACGTTACCCTAAGCTCAGTATACCCCGAGCTGTAGCTCACGGTATACTGAGACGCCGCAGCTGAAGCGGATCCCGACAATTGTGCCGGGATCCGCCCAGCTGCGTGAGTGACAGCTGGCTCTGCCTATCTAGAGGCAGAGCCAGCTGTACCCGCCCCCTCCCCCGTCCGTTCCGCCAGTCAGCGCTGGCAGATCGGAGCTAGAACTCATTGTCACAGGTCGGCTAGCACAGAGGTGAGTGGAAATCACTCATCTCATAGTTCTCCTTTAAATCAATTTTTTTAATAAGTCCCAGAGCAAGTGCTGAGATAAGGCCATGTGATTTTTCGAACTGGCATTCTTGTTCCATGCCAGTGTGTTAAAACACACAAGCGTATAATCCATAATAGCAGTCACCAGCACTCGATGATATGTGCAAGAAGTAAAGCACTTTTTATGAAATTGTCACATTGTCGTCATACAGCCACTATGTCGCCAAGAAGAAGGGACCTAAGTGGCCCCGAAACGTTGACTGTATGACGCATGTGACAATTTAATAAGTGCTTTACTTATTACTTTCATTAAGGTCTGTACGCTGTATGTAGGGCAGGGATTTTGTATTATCGAAAGCACACAAGTTAAGCTGGATGGACCTGTGTCTTTATTTAACCTTACCTACTATGTAAAACTAGTGTGGTAGCCTAACAGTTGAACAACTAGCATTCTCTGAAGAAATTAACGCCAGCCCCTATATTACTCTTTGGAAAAGATTACTTTTAATATAGGATAATGTCCATAGCACTGTGTCCACAGGTTATTCTGGGTTTCCTAGTAGGACAGTTTGTTACTTTCTCTGTTTAAATGACACTGTTCAGAGCTCTGAGATGCACCAGAAGGAAGTGAGTGGCCTTGTCCTCTGGCTCTTTTCTATGTGAATTGTCAATGCAACAAAATAGGGGGTCATTTTCTATCTTAAAATAAAAGTACTGCAGAAAACTTGAGGTTAGCGGACGCAAGACCCACTCTGGCTGAGTGTGTTAAATATGAAATGTTCATATGCAGTTTCTCATAATTACTTGCCTAAAAAAAAAAAAACATTTACTCTTTTTGTACTGAACAGAGATAAAAATGTAGAAAAGCACTATAGATTCCCTTTAGTGGTTAAGTTCAAATACCACTGAGGGAGTTGCAACTTGGCTAGCACGTTTGGTCAGAACCCAAGGCCAGCTTTATCTGTGTATGCCAGAAGTAGACAGAACGTGTTTTTCAGGACTAACATGGTAACAGAGTGACCTTTTTATCCTCAAAATAAAAAATAAGGTCTAGCAATTTTAATGACAGGTTCGTTTTGGTTGCACAAAATTGTTAATTTGCACTAGTAACATATGTTGTATATTTGTTGTGATATAAATAGTGAACCTAACGTTTTATTTAAACCCTTCAGTTTGTTCCAGAGTTTCAAGTTGGAGATGGAATCGGAATGGATTTGAAGTTGTCCAATCAGGTTTTCAATGCGTTAAAGCAACACTCAATCTCTGAACAGCGCAAGAGTGCCAGAGTGCATGACAAAAAGGAAGTGTCAACAACCGTAAGTCTGACTCCTTCCTCTTCTTGTACAGTTTTATTTATTTTACCCATGTGCATGCTGTTTGTTATGTAGACGGCTCTAAATAACGTTTTTCCACATTAATGTGTTGCAGGAAAAAGCGGTTGACCCCAAGACTAGACTGCTTTTGTATAAAATGGTGAATGCTGGGATACTGGACACCATTAATGGATGTGTGAGCACTGGGAAAGAATCAGTTGTGTTTCATGCTAATGGAGGAAGGTACTAGAATAATAAACGCTTGTGTCTTAAAGAATCACCCCACTCAAATATATATGATATTTCAATTGTTGGTACATGGTGGGAGGGTTAAACCACCAGCAGATTTCTTGTTTGTCTTGAGGACTATTGGTATGAGCTCTGCACCTTAGTTTCTGGGTTTGTGCTGTTCGAGTACAGCAATCATGCTGTTGGATTATTCAGGCACAACAAGTCAGAAGCTGACTCAGTCAATCTGCATCCATAGCATATCATATATCATTTTTTGGTGGACTGATCTTCAAAATGTTTTTACCTGCCATGCCTCGGTTTACTTGATATGTTGATTTTCTTTTTGTATTCTAGCATTGAAGGCCAGGAAATACCTGCTGAATGTGCCCTTAAGGTATTCAAGACAACGCTAAATGAGTTTAAGAACAGAGACAAGTATATTAAGGATGATTACAGGTTCAAGGATCGTTTCAGCAAGTTGAATCCACGCAAGATCATCCGAATGTGGGCAGAGAAGGAAAAGCATAACCTGAAGAGGTATACAGAGCTGCAAGCTGCAATGAAGTATACCAAAATAAACCAATGGCGGGTGGAGGAGGAATGCTGCAGAAGAGGGTTGATTGAGTCTTAAGAATAAAATTGCAGGATGAAAGTGACACTAAGCTCAGGAGTTCAATCTTAAAAGTGCATTCAAGTACTTTAGTAGAGGTTAGCAGGAAGAAGCACTGAGCACTGATTTGCTTTAAAGTGACACTAAACTCCGTAGTTAAATCTTAAAAATGGATTCAAGTACCCTAACTAATAACAGAAATATATCCTGCTTGTGCATCACTTAGCTGAAGATCCTCAAATCATCTCTGAATTGGTGCTGACAGTGGTCTTTTTTTCTGGAGAGTGACTACTTTTCTTCCCCTTTTCTCTGTGTGTGTAAAGTAGCCACCGCTCCAAGCTCACTCCCCGATGGACTACAATCTCAATACAAATTAGTAAACTAAACATTAGGTTGTAGTCTATCCCATGAGTGAGCTTGGAGCGGTGGCTACTTTATAACGCATACAGGAGCATGGGGATCAAAAGTAGGCACCCTCCAGAAGGAGGACGGTGTCGGCACCAATTCAAAGATGACTTGGGGATCTACAGCTGAGTGATACACAAATAAACTCCAGTTTTTGTTAATAATTAGGACACTTGAATGCATTTTTAACTCCTTTTTAGAGTTTAGCAACACTTTAAGCCATGGTACCAGACAACATCATTTAATCCTATTACAGGCCACATTTATTGTGTATAAGGCTGCCAATTTTACTGCACATAAAAAATAGGGCCACAGAAAATAAGGTGCATACACCTTTTTGTGCAGATTTCCAGTCTGGGAGTTGAATGGCACATACAACTAGCAGAATGATTGAAGCAAAACTAGCAAAACGATTTTATTTTGTTTTCTTGGAAACTGTGCAGGGTAATGCTGACTGTACACATACACTCTGTAGCCATTCTGAGGAAGGTTGATGGCCTCAGGCATGTCCTCCTATGTCATTTATACTGGCAGTTGATTTTGGATGTCTGCGTCACATCAGCAAGCAATACGGTAAATGCAGCTTGTGGTCAGTGCAACTGACCACAAACAGTACCTACCACACCAGTGTAATATTTATAAGCTGTAGTATATCCATTTCCTCTTTGATTCCTCTTTGTGATTTATTTTATGTATTTTTATTTTTGTGCAGAATGGAGAAGGCTGGCATTCCTTGCCCAGAGGTTGTTATGTTAAAGAAGCATGTCCTGGTCATGTCTTTTATTGGGAAGGATCAGGTACCTGCTCCAACCCTTAAAGAAGCTAAGCTTGGTGTGAAAGAATCCAACGTTGCTTATTTCCAGGTCCTTGCTGTAAGTTTCCGGTTCTTATGGTAGTAAAGTTTGTGTCCGTTAGATAACTGACATTTGAGGCAATTTATAGAACTGCTTGACCAGTTTAAATCTTGGAACACATTTAGGTTTAGTGATTCTTGTCTTCTTTCCTTTTAGATGATGAAGCAGCTTTATGACCAGTGTAATCTTGTTCATGCTGATCTGAGTGAATATAACATGCTGTGGCATGATGGGAAGGTAAGCCTATTTGGATCTATTTCATTCAGGCTGAATTCAGGTTTACATAATGAACAGTTATATATATATCCAGACTCGGCTACTGACTAAACAATCATTTTACACAAACTGTTTAGGACTCAATTGCTCCAGATTTTTTAGTTAAAACTTAATGCTAGGTAGAACATGAACCACCTCCTTCTAAGCGATCGCATGCATGGGGAAAAACTTGCCTAAAGCTGTGGTCACATGACACTTGAGCCCCAAGTCTTCTCGCCTCCTCTGTTTACATAAGGCAGAGTCCTTCACTGCCTGGCGGCAGCGAAGGGAGGGTGTTTGTGTTCCTGCTTGGATGGCGTGGACACATCCTATTGGCTATCCAGTGGCAGGGTTCTCTCAGGATCCAGAAGAGGGCTGACATCAGCATGATGGGATGGTGGTGGACCGGCTGGCACGGACACATCTGTAAGGGGCTTATTAGTGATGCAAACGGCAATGGCCTCAGTGAGGGCTCCAGATGGTGGATTTAGTTGAGTATACCTTGCTTGTCAAAGTAAGAAAACAAACATGCAGGATTGGTTAGAGGAGGTTTGTTTTGCCTGAAGTTGGGCTTTAAGCTTTTCTACAGTTTCAATTTCAGATTCTGTGTACGCTATAGTACTGCTCACTTGCTATATACTTTTATACGTCTAAGGTAAATACATTTCTTTTGTAACAATGACTTACTAGCAAAGGTTTTTTTTAATTTGGAATGGTTAACCAGAAAACGATTTTCTTCCTGCAGGTCTGGCTTATTGATGTCAGTCAGTCAGTTGAGCCTACACATCCACATGGACTGGAATTTCTGTACAGGGACTGCAGGAATGTGTCACAGGTACGTAAGGAAAAAAAAAAAAACTGTGGTGTTGGGGTTAAAGCTAAGCTCCACGCAAACTAAATACACATATGAACTTTCCTGTTTCCCAAAGGATTTGTAATAATGCCCAGCCACTGTTGTGGCTCATACACCTTTGCCAGGCAACGCAACCAGGAGAGGGACATCACTTTCTTTGTTAGCGTTAAAGTAGTATTACAGTCTCAAACTTTTTCAATAATGAATCTAGTTCAAACAAATATATATTGCCCTGCGAAGCATTGCTTCACATTTTTGCCCCAACACTTCCTGTCCAGTAGAAGATCACAAAGGACAGCGCAGACTCCAGCAACTGTTCATCTACTAGTGTAGTAATACCACTCATGGGGCAGTAGCAAGTTATACAAGGTGATACATAAGTGTACTTTACAAAACATAAAAAAATTAACATGTCAGGCTTTACATGCAATTGCAGCAGAGTAGGCACTTTATAGCAGACTGCTCAGCAGGTTGAGCCCGAGTAAACTTTATTGGTCATCCAGAACCACTAGACTCAACCACATCTGCAATAACTGTCCACTGTAACCATATTTCTTAAAATTTACAGCTGGATTCACCCGCTTTATTCATGATTTTGTTTAGCGGTACCATTTGGTTAACTTGATTTTTCTACTTTACACTTTTCCAATGTATTGTGATCGTATTTTTCACATAAAACTGCAGTGGGTTAAATCTCTTTAACGGTACTTCGATTAGCAGTAAAATCCTGATAGGGATTTTATTAGTTCCCTACTTATCTACGACTGAAGTAAAAGATTTGGCTGGCCGTACACAAACGACATGTATCTTTTTTTGCTGAGGCAATTCTATACTAAAAGATATTTTAAAATAATTGTTCTTTGCATTGCTTATCAGTTCTTCCAGAAATGCGGTGTTGCAGAGACTCCCAATGAACGTGACCTCTTCAATATAGTCTCTGGGCTGAATATTACTTCTGATAATCAAGTGGATTTCCTGGCAGAGGTAAACAACATTACAGTCTATTTTTAGTTAATGCACTGAATGAGAAGGCCTAACATGACCTTCATAATGCTGCATGGTCTTGTAGATTGAGACCAGATCAGATGAAAAGATTATGTTCACTATCCAAAGAAGCACCATTCTATCTATCGGCAATCTATCTCGCTCCTCTTCCTCCCACAGGATTGGCCCAGTGTAGTCACATGGGCATGGGAGAGAGTCCTTAGCCCTTAAGTTCCAAGTCACTTTCTTAGCAGCAGAGAAGCAAATGGAAGATACATATGTAATACTGGGGAAGGGAATTTCAACTGAGCTAATTTATTTTCCCTGTATTGGTACAGGTTCATTTTAAGGGGCATATTAACAAAAGCGGTAAATGTGATGGTCACAAAACGCTGATTAGAAAGATACACCTGCAGTGAATGTTTGGTATACATCACATTCACTGCTCTACAAATGTGTGTGGTAAGGGGACATTTTCAAAGGCTTGGAGCATTTGCAATTTGAAGTATATCTAAAGCCAAAATGTTTTTATATTGAATATAGCAGGGGACGGTTAAACCCACTGCGTCTCATCAGAGAGATTTCCCTTTACTTCCTGTCCTGTAGACTCAACTGAAAGTGGGACGATATATTTCCAATGTGAGGCAAATCCCCTCTTAGAGAGTTGTCTCTGGAACAGGTTTCCCCATTTCTCCTCTGTTTCTGTTCTGGTGGCAGATCGATTTTTTTAAAATTTACCCTCACTTTCATTCCTGTTGGAGTTGGTGATCAGGAAAATCAGAGAGGGTGAATCTTTCCAACAGGGACACAGACAGCAAAAAGAAAAACCTGACAGTTTTTTTCACCACCTTCACCAAAAAGGAAATGTACATTGTATTTTATTTCATTATGTGATGTACTTTTTGTTTCCTCTAGATTGAAGCCCTGGAGAAAATCAATGAAGATCATGTTCAAAATCGTGCAAAGAAGGTTTCTACCTTCCAGAAGGATGACGATGGACCCCCCGGACTATATGATGAATAACCCCGATGTGACGCCCGTACAGAGTTACTGTACAAAAACATGGCAAAAAATGGTTGCCGTCTCCTGGCGGCATTAACGCAGTGCTTCATTTCCCTGCCTAATGCAGGTTGGAAGTGCTGATGCAGATCGCCACTCACCCTAGAGAACACAGTTTCCGACCCAGAGTACCATGTCTGCGCACAACCCTCCAACATGGCTTGGAAGGGCACCAGAAGTGCAGACTTTGCTCTGAGAGTTTTTATGAAAAAGATGGTTCAATTGCTTTGCTTCTCATTGAGCCATGTGACAGCAGATGGGTTGAATCCAGAAAAGTGTGTTTAGGGTGACTGGTTAAAAGAAAAAAATAAATAGATATTGTGAACGTGAAATAACTTTACTAAGGCGTTGAGAGTGAAGGGGAAACATTTTTGCTCCAAATTTGAGCAAAAATGCATTTTAGTAACTTCTGGAATGATACGAAGCTGTCCAAAGGGTGCTGACAACATTGATAAATAAGTATATGTCTTTGTCGAAACACCAACATGAGATAATATAATCTAAATATATAGTAACCAGAATAGTTTTTTTTTTTTTTAAATTTAAGTAATAACCTTATCCTTTGACTCTAATCAGTGACGAGAAGTTTTTTCTAGAATATTATCATTACTTAACACAATAGCATGCTTTTTACTAAACTTTGTCTTTACTGCATACATTGAATGACTAGCGCATAACATTAATGCAATTCTCATGTATCAGTGTAATCTCCAGTGCTAAAATAAAAATGGAAAGAGTTATGTGTTTGTTTTTTTTTTTTTTTTAATTTACACTTTCATCTTAAAGGCATCAGCCATTCACAGTTATCTTTTGAAGGGGAAGACTACTATTCCCGTTTGCCACTGCGGCAGAGGGACTCATTAGGGCAGGTGACATCACTACACTTGAGTCTCTTTACTTCCTCTAGCCCGATAACAGGAGGTCTGTAGCCTGGAACAATGCGGGAGCCTGTACATTGCACCCACAATGCACTGATCACTTTTGCAGTCCCCTATCTGCCGGGGAAATTCTAAATTTCAAAGAAAGTCCAATGTTGCAAGCGTTCTCCGGATGGGCTTGTGTGTCATACGCTGGTGTGCAGCTCTTGGTAGAATCAGACTGGGGTGTCGTGTGTGCTATAAAAGAACTGGAGCGCCACAACCTAGCGCAATAAATCAGGTGTGGATGGGATGAAGAATACAAACAATAATTGCACTCACATGTTGGAGGGTTGATAGGAGCTCAATAAAATAAATCAATATGGAGCAGTGTGGTGTCGTCTAAGTGAAGCTGGTGAACATCCAGTGGTGAGAGGAGCTCTGACCCGCACGGTGGGGGATGGAGGTGTAGGAGCCAGGCACAAGGAGAGATGCAAATAATGTACTGGTATTATTGAAGCGGAAAAGAAGTGTATGCACTCACCCTCACACAGGATGTTATGTAGTTTTATCGGAGAAGGTCGGCTGGCGAACACGAAGGAGCTCATCACTTCAAAGCCTGGGCAGATGCTGTGGATTGGCGGTCCTAAGTGTTCCTGGAGGTTGGGGATAGTCTCATGGAGTCCCAATTTGGTCTGGCGTTATATAGGTGAAGGCGTCGGATGCGATGCTTGTGGCAGTTGAAATAGAGCTCCGGTGACTACGGAGGAGGAAAATGCTGCTTGTATTTATTCGTCCCATTGTACTTTATTGTATTCTTTGTCCCATCCACCCCTGATTTATGGTGCTAGGTTGTGGTGCCCCAGTTCTTCTTTTGCTGTTTCTAAATACACACTGTCCTGCGTCCAGTGATCTATTCCAAACTGCATGTAATCATATCATACCGCATCTGCACTTACAGATGTGGCCGCCGTTACCTGGTCTGCATCTAAATGGGGACACCTGGCATTCCTGTTGCAGAAATCCGTAGGTCCTGAGTATGAGATCTAAGGCACTGCTGCCTCTGACTTCTGGTCTCTGGTGATACGGTGATGTCACCACTGTTCGGTTCCCTGTTCTTTTTGCTGGAGGCTTTGACATGAGGAAGCGAAACCCTACCTCTCCCACACAGTGCAGAACAAGCCATTATAAGTCAGTAATGGGAAAAGATCAGCTGGGAGACCACAGGCAAAACTGCTGTCTACGAAAAAAACTGTCCTGCGCCAAGTAGAAACCTCCTCCAGCCCCGAAATGTTTCTCGCAATCCAGACAGGCTGCCCCATAACAGACAAGGGATGTCTGCATAAAAAACAAAAACACCGGGCACCTTTCCTGGTGCAAATAATCATTGAGGTCTATGATTGAACACTCAGTATAAATTTGTACTTAGTTGAGTAGTCCAGCTCTGAAGAAGGGGGTCATCCCCGAAAATGCGTTCAGCTGTGTCTGCTTGTTCCTGCTGGTTCAAGAAGAGTTTTTGGACGGCCTTCTGACTGCTCCTTTGATTTCCCCACTTGGAATGTCTTCTAGGATTTTATGTCCAATACGTTTTTAACCTGCCTCCTTTGTGAGCACCATTCATTTACACATTTCTTTTTGTACAATAAAAAGATTATTTGCACCAGGAAAGGTGCCCAGTGTTTTTGTTTTTTAAAACTGCTGTCTAGCCCTTTTGTCCTCTGCCTCTTTTTCTTTTTTTTTTTTTTTTTTTTATTTTTTTTTTTTTTTTTTTATAAGCACAATGTCTAAAGTTCAGTTCCTCTTTAAAACATAATTTCAGCCACAGTGTTTTGGATACAGTGGGAAAAAGTTAAAATTTCTGTCAGTTTTTTGTTTAAATTTTATTTATTGCTGCCTGTGACTGAGGAGATTTCCTTCACTTCCTGTCCCTATGATGCTCTTACAGGAAATAGGTGTAGGTGTCCCTGGGACAGGAAGGTACAGACACCAAATAAAAGCCTAACAGAGTCTAGCTAGGGGAACTAGACCAATTTCTCAAATACACTCCCTGGAAGCCTAACAGAGGTTGTATCCCTTCTCTGCTTTACCCAAAATGAAAGTTGGACCCATGCTTTACAAGTACTTGGGATCTCCTTGTTTTACTGGGTGAGGATTTTTCTTACTACAATCCATTACGTTCAGAATGTAATTCTACTTAAATCTTAACAGGCCAGCTCACAAAGATCCAATTGTGCAGAGGTAAGCAACCTTCTGTGGTGCAGTGCCCATCATGCCTCTGGGAGTCATGCCTGTGTTTGTCAGAATTTTGCAAAGCTCATGGGACTTGTAGTTTCACCCTAGCTAGTGTGTAGAGGTTGCCTACCCCTGTGATAAAGTAATACATATTGAAAAGAGTTGTGTGAAGCAGTGAGAGGGAAATGTGAGTTCAGCTCTCAGGTTTTTATTTTTTTTCTGATATTATTTCCGGTGATGTCCAACCTAAACTTCATGTATAGTGTAGATTGGTCATGCAGCACAATTCTCCACACATGTTGCAATCAGGGCTGGACCAATGTAGAAGAGGCAATTACCTTGGGTGCCGTGTCTCCTGCACATCTGTAAAACTGATAGTTCCGTTCTGGAGATCACACTGGGAGATGGCAGCATTCCCTGTGTAACCAGCAGCACTCCACTGTTTTTTTTTTTTTTTTTAAGCTCCGCAATGCGTGCATTGTGATACACACACCAGTGAACTCAAAAAGTGGTGGTCTTCTGCTGGAAAGGAGGGCCACAATAACCCTAAACCTGTGGGGGGCAAGGCACTCTAATCCACCTAGCGGTAGTGCCAGACGGAGCCTGATCCTTAGGGACCAGCTGAAGCCATTCCAGCAAGTACTGAAGAGAGACCCCTAAATGGGGGAAGAAAAAAGACACTTTAAGGCCACAGATCCTTCCCCCAACATCAGGGTAGGCCCCCCGAAGACCTGCACCCTCTGTAGTCTGTGGAGTAAAAAAAGTGCTATAAATAAACAAGTGCCATGTGCAGTACACGGCTGGCCTTGCGGCCGGTATAAAAATTCCTCCAGACTAGCTAAAAGGCCTGCTTAAGGGGTGTGTGCCAAAACAATATGGTGATGTGACCTAGTGCCAGGTGCCATACTGTGGGGACCCATTCCCATTATGTTTCTCTGGGACACCAACCCCAAGGGGCACATCAATGGAAGCTCCTTGCGTTTCCATCCCAAGGGCAGCCCTACTTCTATCAGAAGGCATTATCACTGGAAGGGCTCCTGTCTACAACTGGGGACAAGCCTGGTGCACCAGGACAGAATCAACCCAGGAGGAGA